ATTAACTGATAATGTGTTACTCAGAATATTTATATCTTCTTGATTCAGCTTTGGTAATTCGTACATGTCAAAGAATGTCTCCATTTCTTCTGTGTTTTCCATCCTATGTGAGTAAAGATTTTCAAAGTAGGTATTGATGATCTTCTGATTTTTTTTTGAATTAATTGTGTTTCTTGTATATAACATATTGTTTGATCTTGTTTCTTGATCCATTCTGCCAGTTTGTTTCTCTTGATTGCTGAATTGAAGGCATTTACATTGATGGTTATAACTGGTATGTATTAGCTTATCTTTGTCATGTTATTTTTCTGCTCTTGATTCTCGCCCCTCCCCTTTTAGTTGCTTGCCCTACCTGGTGATTTCTTCTGTTTTTGGTCTTGGACTTCTGGACATTTTTATCTCTGTATAGAATACATTTCAGTACTCTTTGTAGGGCTGGTTTAGTGGTCATAAATTTTCTCAGTTGTTCTTTGTCATGCAAGTATCTTATTTCTCCATGAATTTTGAAAATTAGTTTTGTAGGGTGCATCAGTTTGGGTTGGAAGTCGTTTCCTTTCAGGACACGAAATACTTCACTCCAAGCTTTTCTTGACTTGAAGGTTTGTGTTGAGAAGTCAGCCATGATTATTGGGCTTTCCTTTATAGGTGATCTGTTTCTTTTCTCTAACAGCTTTAATATTCTATTCTCATGTTCAGTTTTTTAGATCTTGATTATTATATGTCTGGGTGTAGGTTAATTTTGGTTATGGCTAATTGGATTTCTATATGCCTCACTTCACTGTATGTGAGATTCTTTTCCCATGCTGGGGAAATTTTCTGTTATTTGTTCTGCAAATAGTTTTTTATGTCATTTGTATTGACCCCTGCTTTTTCATTGACAACAGTCAGTCTTATATTACTTTTCTTTGCATTACCTTGGAGCTGTTGAATTGTTATTTCCTGATTGTTTGTTATTTTTAAGACATCTTTCATGGTTGATAGCTGCAATTTTGTATTCAAGGTCTGAGAGCCTATTTTCCATTTCATTCAATCAGTTTGGCCAGCTTTCAGTGGAGTTTTTAATTTCCTGAATATCTGTTTGAATCTGTTTCATGCATTCTATTTCTTTTGTATATTTATAATTCATGATTTCTATCTTTTTCTATCATCACCTATTGTTTTTCTATTACTGCTCTAGATTTGCTGAGCAATTCTTTTTTGAATGTTAATGTTGCTTTTGTTTAACCTGAGAGATTATTTTTGATATGATTTGCTGTGTAGCCTCCTGGATTTGTTTCTTTATGTCAGTAGCTATCATTTCAGAAATTTCAGGTGTATGTCTTCCATTTTCCTCTATCTTGTTGTCTCCTGCACTTGTTCTGGGTGTGTTAGAGGTCTGAGGTTGCATTTTCTTTCTGCATCTTCTCATTTTCTATTTCACAAAATGTCTTATTTTCTTTTCTGTGTTGACCCTTGTGAGTTCTTTTAACAGGTAACTATATCATTAAGATCAAGGCCTTTCTGGGAGAAGTTTGTTCTTTGGGGATGTCTTCTGTGTGTAGGAAGTCCTTGGTTTATGTCTCTCCCAAGATCCTACCTTCCCAATTAATTAAGAGGGGTAGGTTGGTATCTGTTTGGCTCAAATCCCAGTCCTTTGGTGTTGTGCTGTGGTGAAGTTATTACCTCAGAGCTTCCCAGTATTTTTACAGAAAGGAGAACAACTGATTAGGACTGATATAACTTCCAGCTAAAGTAGTATAATTAGCAATAACAATAGCATCCAGCACAGTTCAGAAACTGACAAACTTTGATAACTATTAATTTTTCACCTTGAAGCATGGGAGCAAAATCTACAGTTATATAACAGAAAGGATCATACATTAGGAGCTTGAATGGAAAGTGTTTCCTTTTGGGAAAGCAGTTTTACACTGTGGTGGGGGAAATTTAAGAAGGATTGAGTATAAAATAGAGACAAGTGAAAAAAAGGAGAAGTAAGGTTGCAGGGCAAAAAATGATCATGCACACTTTGAAAAACAAGGAGGTGGGGATATAGCTCAGTGGCATAAGTGCCTGCCTGGCAAGTGCAAGGTCATGAGTTCAATCCCCAGTACCACAAAAAAAAAAAAAAAAAAAAAAGAAAAAAGAAAAAAGAAACAAGAGAAAAGGGTAGAAAAGAAAGAATGAAAGAGTAAGCCCAGGATTGTCTGAACTTGGTCTCTGGTTCTGGGGGGTGGGGAATAGATTTCTGTGGTGGGAGTTCTCCCCACCCATTTAGAAAGGAGGAAAAAAAAGAAAAAAGAAAACAGAAAAGGAAAAGCAAAAGAAAGAACAATAAAAATAAATACTAAAAACAAAAGGCACACCTCACCCATTTGCCTCTGTTCCAGGTGTCTTTGTCCCCAAG